GGAAAGAGTTCCCAGAAAATCGATGGTCGATTTCAGCGAAGAACACGGAGGTAAATTAACGAAGCCCTGGAATCTGAGAACCCCGAAGAAGAAAGACGCGTCTGATGGAGAAATTTCGTTTTCTCTGGCATCGCCGGATCAGCCGGAGACGAGGAAGAGGAAGAGAAGAAATGTACCGACGAGGAGATCCCTCGAACCGATTGCTGCGAAATCGAGCATGAGGGAGGCAAAGAGGAGTAACAATAGGGCCGCGAAGAAGAGAGTGTATTATAAAAAAGTGTTATTCGACGGTGTTGAATTCCAGGTCGGCGACGATGTGTATGTAAAGAGGAGAGAGGACGAGAGTTCAGACAACGAAGACCCAGAAACCGAGGAATGCAGAATTTGCTTCAAATCAGGGAATAGAGTTATGATTGAGTGTGACGATTGCCTCGGTGGGTTTCATTTGAAATGTATGAAACCGCCATTGAAAGATGTCCCTGAAGGTGATTGGATTTGTGGGTTTTGCGAGGCTAAGAAGTTAGGTGAGACGGTCGAGCTTCCGAAGCCACCGGAAGGGAAGAAACTGAAGAGGACATTGAGGGAGAAACTCCTTTCAGGTGATCTATGGGCTGCGCGAATCGAGAGGTTTGGTTCTGGCCCTTCTTTCATAATCATTTCATCGTTTTTGCTGTGAGTTCTTGTTTTCATTTTGATCTTTATGAGTGTCGAAATCTGCAGATTGTGGAAAGAAGCTGATGATGTCTACTGGATTCGGGCTCGTTGGTATATAATACCAGAAGAGACATCTGCCGGGCGTCAGCCTCATAATCTTAAACGAGAGCTCTACATGACAAATGATTACGCTGACATTGAGGTGCTAATGCCACTTATACTTACTGACAATGCAAAGTTGATCAGTTAGCTTAGAGATTTGTCTGTAACCAACATCTTTACCATGTCTCTACAACCTTCAAAGACCATTGGATTGAAATAGAAATATTGCATTTGCATAAACTGTATTGTTTGCATCTAGTGGTGATTATTCACTGATTTTATCTCTAAAATATGCCCTGTAAATGTGCACGCTTTGTTTCCATGGACCCAATAGCACTGCAGCATTTCATTCTCGGAAATGGCATTGGTTTGAATATAGGACCCATGCTAGTGGTACCTGTTCTCTTGCAACAATGATAATGCTTTTCTTCATGGCAGATGGAATGCATTCTCAGGCACTGCTTTGTTAAGAGCCCAAAGGAGTTTGCCAGGGCGAGCAATGATGGGGATGACATATTCCTGTGTGAATATGAATATGACGTACATTGGCATAGCTTCAAGCGTTTGGCTGAAAACAATGATGACGAAGAGGTGGGGGATGTGTAAATGTATTCACACCTTTGAGTTATGTTGCTGCAACACTGAAATCAAGGAGTGAGATGAAAACCTTGTAACTTTTGTCTTATGTTTTCCCTTTGATTTGTATTGTAGGGTGATGGAGGTTCAGAAAGCGATCAAGACTGGAACTCCAGCAAAGATGTGGAGTCTGATGCTGAAGAAGAGATTGAATTTGAGGATGAAGAAACTGCCCGGAATTCGCAAACTAGGACAAGTGCAACTCGTGCAAGAGCTGCGGTATATACCTTGCTTCAAGGATGATTTCATTTGTTGGAAAATTGTTATCGTCCTGGTCTCATTGTCAAAATTTCATTCGGGCTCATTGTAGAACTCTCGGAAAGGGCGTTTCTCTGGCCTAGAGAAGGTAGGAACAAAACGGATTCCTGAGCATGTGAGATGTCACAAGCAGACTGAACTGGAAAGAGCCAAAGCCACTTTGTTATTGGCAACACTGCCCAAGTCTCTTCCTTGTAGGAACAGGTATGGAAGACGCAGTAATCCAATCAGCTATATTCATTCAAAGACTGCTTTATGACTGAATACATATATGTTTGTAGAGAAATGGAGGAGATATCTTCATTTATAAAGGGTTCCATCAGTGATGATCAATGTCTAGGCCGGTGTATGTACATTCACGGAGTCCCGGGGACAGGAAAGGTAAAAACTTGCGGATATGATTTGTCTCCAAATTTTGATGATTTCAGTCTGCCTCATCTACTTACCATACGTTTTGCCAATCTGTTGTTCTCTCTGAACCAAATTGCAGACCATAAGTGTACTTTCAGTGATGAAAAACTTGAAGGCAGAGGTTGAAGCAGGAAGCATAAGGCCATATTGTTTTGTGGAGATCAATGGTCTGAAGTTAGCTTCACCTGAGAATATTTACAGTGTGAGTTTTATCAAGTTCTTCGTAATAAAATATTCCACGCCTATTCTGGTCATTTTTCCTAATGATTCCATTCTTGGGCTATTTCAGGTAATTTATGAAGCGCTGAGTGGGCATCGTGTAAACTGGAAGAAAGCCCTGCATTCTCTGAATGAGAGATTCTCCGAAGGAAAAAGGATTGGGAAAGAGGACGGCAAGCCTTGCATACTTCTCATTGATGAACTTGATCTTCTTGTCACTAGAAATCAGTCGGTAATGATAAATTTATCGTAACGAAACATCTCTCTCTGTGTTACCTGTATTGTGCACCTTTCTTGACCCTTCTTCCTTGGCTTCAGGTTCTGTACAATATTCTAGATTGGCCTACCAAGCCTAATTCCAATTTGGTTGTTCTAGGTGTGTTTCCATGCATAGCTTAACCATATTAACTCAATTATGATTGGTACAATGCTAATCATAGTTGTATTACATAAAAATTCAGGAATAGCAAACACAATGGATCTTCCGGAGAAGCTGCTTCCTCGAATTTCAAGTCGGATGGGTATACAAAGGCTTTGTTTCGGTCCTTATAATTATCATCAGCTTCAAGAAATCATTTCCACACGGTTGAAAGGCATCGATGCCTTTGAGAAGCAGGCCATTGAGTTTGCTTCAAGAAAGGTACTCTTCGCTTTCTTTCCAATCAAAACCTGAGTTCAAATCTCAGTATTACTGTCTCTCTTTGTGTGTGTGTGTATACTTACACATTTATGTATGTATGTTTTCATGTTTACATACTATTTATCGGAAGTTCCAAATGTCTGGGCGTGATTCTTTAGGTAGCAGCGATATCAGGAGATGCACGTCGTGCCCTTGAGATATGCCGGCGTGCAGCAGAAATCACTGATTATCGTATCATGAACGGATCTGCATGCCCAAAATCTGGAGGTAAAATCCAATCTCTACAACATTGTTGTTTCCTTACCTACATTTTCTAGGGACCTGGGCTAATGCAAGATAACAACATTTCCCCCAGGAAAAATTCTTGTGAGTATGGCAGAAGTTGAAGCAGCCATTCAAGAGATGTTTCAAGCACCTCATATCCAAGTAAGTATAGGATTGAAGCTACTTTAGCTTTTATTGGTTTCTAATTATTTAATCACCGCCTCTCTTCGCTCTTAGTATGCCCTTTTTCTTAATTTTTACAATCTCTTCCCCTGTTCTTGTAGGTTATGAAGAGTAGTTCAAAACTGAGTAAAATATTCTTGACGGCTATGGTTCGCGAGCTTTACAAAACTGGGATGGCGGAGACCACATTTGATAAGGTGATTGAACTCGAGCTCTTTCTACACGGTGTTTCTTAAACTTTCTAAGTTTTAACATCAAAATCTTTGTGTCCGCATGAAACATTCTAGCCTTTCTTTCGTACCAGATGCTGAAAGAGTTTTGCATATTTGCAGGTGGCTATGACCGTATCATCTCTTTGCTCAGCCAATGGAGAAGCTTTTCCTGGTTGGGACACTCTTCTAAAAGTCGGGTATCAGTCCAAAACACTTCTTTGTTATGTACATCTTCCTAAGCTAAGGCTCTCACCTTCAAATCCACAGTCACCGAGAGCAATATTCGATTGGTTTTGGGATAAACTCGATGAGCAGAGACTTTGTTTCTAACTTTCCTGTGTTTTGCAATGGCAGTTGTGATCTAGGCGAATGCAGGATCATTCTCTGTGAACCCGGGGCTAGGCACAGTTTGCAGAAGCTGCAGCTGAATTTTCCGAGGTAATCGTTCATTTTGGTCGGACTAAATATTTAATTTTGAATGCAACAGATACACATTTCTCAAAATCCAACAAAATGAACACAACTCAAAAGAGTGCTTTGTTGTGGGTTTGGTTTGCTGCAGTGATGATGTAGCTTTTGCACTGAAGGACAATAAGGATCTCCCATGGTTGTCTCAGCATCTGTGATATCATCTATAAATTGAAGGTCATCTGCAATGATTCAGATTATGATCTCCACAGGTCCAAGATTTTTTTTTTATAAACAAAAATAAAAGTTTTGATCTTTTCAAACAGTTTCCAAAGACTTGGACTTTTATTCATTTGGTGCTGGAGGGATTAAAGATAGAAACCATACTGGAAATCTGTTGTTTGTTGGATTCATGTATCTGTTGTTTGTTCAATCACATATCTGAAATTGTATTCTTTTGGATAATTGTTTTATTGATTACTCCACATTGTGTCATTCTTTTTCTATGAAATGATTGAATAGTTTGATAAGAATAAAAAATTCTTATGTTATGTTGAATCCAAATAATTTTTTATTTCTAAAAATAAATTGTAAAAAAATTTAAAAATATTTTGTTTAAAACTTTAATTATCTACAAATCTCTATTTTTATAAAAAATATTCAAAAAATTATAATTATATTATGAATTAATCTGTTTTTAACTTAATGTTAATATGTTTATAATATCCATGTAGGGTAAATCCTATAAAAATTCCTCAATTTGTGCGAAATTGAAAACTAATTTATTTATTTTCCATTTAACAAATATATGTATATCTGTACATATATATGTATATTTGGGTAAACCATTATCAAAAACTTTTGCCTCCAAACCAACATGATTGATGGTGTAATAGAAGATGTCCTTTTTTGTTATTTTTTATAAACATTATATGGAAG